TTTGAGCAACCTCAAACTCTCCTCAGCTCAAGTGACCCTCTTGCCTCAGTCTCCTGAATAGCTGGGACTACAGGCACCTATCACAACACCCAGATAATTTTCTATTTTTAGTACAGACAGGGTCTCACTCTTGCTCAGGCTGGTCTGGAACTCCTGAGCTCAAGCCATCCACCTGTCCTGGCCTCCCAGAGTGCTAGGATTACAGGCATGAGCGCCTGTGCCTGGCCATCAATTCTTATATTAAAACACTGTATTTTTAAGGACAAGAAAACACTTTTCCTATCTGATATTAGTAAATCTGTCGCACATCAAAAGGACTTCATTTAATGAGTTGTTACTTCATATATCAAAGCTAAAACAATGTAATACCACCATTGTTTCATCACCTATGAAATCAGAGAGTTGGAATAGCTAAGTAACCTCATTACTAAGGTTCCTTCCGAATCAAATATTGCATTTTACATGATAAATAGGTGACAAATGCTTCATAATACCAAAACCCATTTAACATATTCAATTAGAAAAAACCTATATTGACAGTTCCTCTCAATAACTTTAAACTTAAACTAGGATGGGAGGGACAGCGTGATGCTCACCATGCTCTTTCCTGAGGGTCACTCAACACGTCATATGCTCTCCCAAAAAGGTAGTTGCATTTCCACAGGAAAGAAATGTTACTAAAAAAGACAGTACTGAACTAAATTAGCCTATAAAATAATTATACATCTGTGATCTGGGAATTTACCACATGCACTGGAACAAGTCTCTTTAAATCTAGGAGGTTCACACACAATTACTACTCACACTATGTAATAACTCCGTCAGAGTAGTCATTATCCCGGTTTTATGTCACAAGAAACTGCAGCTCAGGAATATGAACTAACTGGTTGCCCATCATCATAAAGCTAATAAACAGCCAGGCCAGGTTCAAACGCAGGCCTCCTGCCCTGCCAAGACCAGGGTCCTTCTGCTACCTGGCCCTGCCCCTGGGTGACAGGACAGTTGCCAGGCAACAGCCTGAAACAAAAGACAGGGAAGTCCTCGGAGGAGAAGACAACCTAAGACACAGAGGTGGCCAGACAAAAGGTCAGGGAAGACTTTCTGAGTGAAAGGCTAAAGCAATTCCAAGGCCAGCTATCTGGATTCCTCAGGGACAAAAGAGCTGAGGATCCTCTGATTTTCTTTTGAAAGACAATTTCCTGAGAAGGTTTTCTGTAGCTTTTCTCCCAATAGCCATCTGTATTGCACATCATTTAACACACAGATGACTGGTATCTCTTCATACCTGCAGGATCTCGCATGATTATGCCAGGGTTTAAAACCTATTCCTTTTTAGCAAAAAGGTCATTGAGAATCTGAAAACTCAGAACTTTAAGTATAGACATTTTTCTTTGGTAATTATATTACATGATCAGATTATTATTAGCAAAAGCATGTGTCACAGATACAGAGTCTTAACTCAATTTCTTCATATAAAGTCATTATATAGAACTATTACAATTCTGGCTTGGCACCATAATTCAGTGGTTAGGGTACCGGCTACATACACTGGGCTGGTGGGTTCAAACCCAGCCTGGGCCTGCTAAACAACAATGACAACTACAACAAAAAAATAGCTGGGCATGTGGCAGGTGCCTGT